AGTCGATCAAGCGTTTCGGCCGATAGACTCCTCTTGTTTTCTTTCCACGCGCCGATGTGCTCGGTTTTCGTTTGGATCTCTATTGAGCGCTTAACCCCATTGCTCCACCGCGGCATCGCGCGAGTCAAGCGTCAAAGTGTATAGTTTTTTGGCAATGCCAACATAAGTTAGAAGTCGCGCGCAAACAAAGAGGAAAAGGACGCTCTGTCGAAAAAATTGCGACACTTTTAGTGTATATCCGCGCGCAAAAGGGTGCAAAAGCGCGCAGCGGAGAAAAAAAGCAGCGCGAACCCGAGTGTACATATAGAGAGTCAGCTGCACTCAAAAGTGAAAAGCGGATGGGGCACGAGAGAGAGAGAGAGAGAGAGAGAGAGAGAGAGAGAGAGAGAGAGAGAGAGAGAGAGAGACCTAGGCAGGTTTATACAAAAGAAAAATAAATCGCTCGCTATATACGTGCGACGATTCGCGTCCATTTCGCGCTCGCGAAACTCGTTTACACCTATACATCGGCGCCGCGACGCGAAAGCACTATAAATAGAAAATGGATTAAGCGCATCTCTCTCGCTCCGAGGGGATGGAAGTAGCAGGATTCGAATGCCTGCGCGTCCCCCTTCCGCAGCGGCGGCGGTGGCAGTCGCGCAGATATTATCAGTAATAGCGCAATTATGATAATGGCGGGTAATTCCGCGCGAAATTCAGCGAGCGAGAAGTCGCGCCGACTGGGTGGCGCGCGGAAGCGAGAAAGACGGCGGCGCGAGATATTTGGCGCAGACGCGCAGCATGTTCGATACATTAGGGCGCGGGGGAGGCTGCTAACGAAGGATACGGATTCGACGCGGCCCCGCCGAATAATTATCCCGCCTGCCACTCGGCTGCGCGCAACAATCGTTCGCACGTCCAGACAGATTTCCGCGGCGCACCAACAGCCTCTTGGCCCGCTTTTTTTCTTTTCGTCAATTATAATCGCGCTCGTCCTCGCTTGCCGTTCCGACTCTCAAATGCTCCCGTCCGATTCCAATCGGTTGCAATCTCGAAAAGCGCGTTTCCCTCGTTGCTTCTCGTTGCGGACGACAGCGCTTCATAAATAACTTCCTAAGCGGCTGCAACCCTTTCCTGACTATTGTCGGAAAAAGATTACGTGACTGCGATCTAGGCTCGTTCGAAAGCGCGTCGTCGTTACGATTGATTTAATGATATCCGACCCAAGCACGGCCACTTCAAAGCCACCTTCTTCGGATGGGCGCGAACAAGGTGGACTTGTCAGAAAAACCTTCGTCTGTACGCGTCTATAGTAGATAACGCGTGGTACACAAGTAAGTTACGATATTTTTTTACATTTTTAGCGCTACAAACCAACTATTAATTCATTAGAACTATCATATTTACGTATAATAAACAAAACCAATGTTTTCTCATGATGGCTGGAACGACAAGGTTTGTAAGCTAATATACAGAAAAATTCAAGAGCGAAATTTATAAACCACTCGTAATGCAATGTTTGATCACGGTTTCGTTATGAAATTCGAATAGCGTATTGCAGTTCCGCGTTTGAATATATTGCGGCCAAGGTAAATTGGAAGAACCGATGAATTCGCTCGTTCGAGTACAAGCAGCTGCACAACTGATTTGGCGCTCGGGAAGGATCGGGGGCACGATCTTCAACTATGGAACTGAATCGTCAAGTAGATACAACAGTCCATTGGTTCCTCAATTCGTTTTAACGACTTGAAGAGGTTTGCACGAGAGGCTTGCAACGAAAAGTCGGCATCGAGTCCCCTTCGATTCGAAAGATCGCGCTCTCGCAAAGCTCTCGTCTCGTCTCTCTGCCCCCGAAAATAATAATAGCAGCGTCCGCGTAGGAATTCATTCGGCGGCATGTATCGTTCGAACGCACTCCACGTTGTCGGAGGAAAGAGGAAAAAATGAAATTTGGCGCACCGGCGGCGCGGCTCTTTTTGGGCAGGAGTGCGCGGGAGCAAGGGCCAAGAGTGGGCAATAAAAAGCTGACCTCGCGCGGCTGAATTCGCAAAATATACGCGCGCGCATCAGGTCTAATAAAGCCGACGGGCCGGCGACGACGTTTCCAATTACAGATTTTCATTTGCGGCTGAAGAGAGCGGAAAAAGAGAAAAGAAGCGCGAGCGCGGCCTTGCGGATCGTGGGCCGGCGAACGAACGCGCGCGCGCGCGCGCGCGCTGGCTTTCGGCGGCGAAAAGCGAGCCGGGCGAGTCTCGAAAAGCTTGCTCTTTTACGCAATTCCGGGGCGCGCTTATTAAAGTTTGCCCGCGAATGAAACGAAGCCCATATAACCTACCTAATTTAGCGAGTAGCGTTTTGGAGTGCGCCGCCACTCGAGCGCGCGAGCCCGCTCTATTGACAGCGGTTATTGCCTAACTGCGTGTGCCTTCCACCTAATATGCGACCCCGCCGCCTCCGCGCGAGTCAGGCCAGCGCCGGCAAACATGCAGCGCCGCCGCGAATCTTTAATCCGCCCCTCCCTCTCGCTTGCTTGCGCTTTATTTCCCCGGCTCCGGCTTTTATTTTCCACGGATGCATATTCCGTTACGGCCGATGCCGAGAGCTTTTTTCGCTCTCCGGGCTTATATGCTCGGCTCGTTGCGACTTCCACTGTTCGCTCGAACTCTCTGTTATTCCGTAATACGTCAACACGACACTATCCGCCCGAGCTACCGTTCCACTTGTTTCATCTCTTGCTCGGATACTCGCCCTCGGGACGACTTTTCGCGTCTGCGATCCAATGCGGAACGCGAACAAAAGAGTAAAGTCCGCAGCCCATCGGCGAAAGCGGGTGGACAGGTGGGAGCCGCTCGGGGGACGGAGTTAGTCGGAGTTGGGCGGGGGCGCTCGGCAAATTAGTTGGACCAGCGCAATTTGGTCGCGCGCGAGCATACGCGCGCGGGAGAGCGCGAAACTCCGGCTGTTAACTCCGATGCGGAATATTAGCTCTCGTCGCGGCGCGCGGCAGCGAGATTAAGCCCATTGTGCGCGCGGCCTCGGCAGCGATGACGTCGCTTTAAACTGCCGTCGGCGCGCCCTCGGAAATTGATTAAACTATCGGATTAGCCGCTGGGATTTGACGCGCGCGTTAGGCCGTTAAACGTCGGATCGTCGCCCCGGCGAATGCTCGGCCGGATGCGGCGTCGCGATCCGCGCGTTTCGCACGGGACTTCTCGATAATGCGCCCAGCTGGGAACTGCGGGCGCGCGACAAAGAGCCGATACGTCGGAAGCGGGGCCGCGAGCGCCCACGGCTTTTTTGCGCCCGCGATCGCGCGGCCCAATAATTCCGCGCAGCCGGCGGAATAATGGCCGCGGCGCATTATGCGAGCGGCGGCGCACCGAGCGTTCTTCAATCGCGTCCGATTTAATTCGCTGGGAGATGCGAATTCAATCATTTCCCGAGCGACCGAGCCGCCGCGCGTCTTTCCATCGGGGACCCTTTGACGCGCCTCTTCCGAAACGGATATTCTTTGAGGAGGCGGCAGAGTGCCGACGCGAACTGGCTACGCGGCTTATGCTCGTACTTGCCTCTATTTTTTTTTCGCGTTAGCGGAATACTTCAATCCAAGTCCTCTATTTATTTGTCGGCATTAATTAATGCCACCTTCGCCCTTATGTGCGACTGACAATTGTGGTTGGTCTGAGAGAGCGCGAACCATTTCCTACGGTCATTGTTTTTTTGGCTTCTTTTTCTTCGATTAATCAATCGACGATTATAGGACACGCTTTTCCAATCGATACTGAGATCAACAAATTATAGAGTTCGAATATAGGTGACAACGGAAAGTCGGAATAAACATTGGAATTAAATTAATTTTATTATTGTGTAATAGTAAACAAATTAAAGTAACTACCGAAACTTAATAAAGCAAAGCGATATAATTACTCTTTGGCGCAGCGAAAATACAAGCAGAGAGCTTGTGCGCACACGGGATGTCGAAAAGAACATAAACGAACTTATCTAGTCCAATAATAATAGCAGAATAAGTTTTCTCCTAATCGGCTGTCGCCGAATCGCCTCGCTCGTCTCACCCCCACTTCAAGGCCCAAAGGTAGTGGGTGTCGCCTTTTCTTGCTCGTCCGACCTTCGACCAATGAAGTGCTGCCTTTTCCTCTGCTCTGACTCGGTTTATGATTATTAAGCTTTGGCGTCAACCTATGGCTCAGTCTCGATTCTCGCATTGCCTTTACGCAGTCTCTGACTCGCTGAACGAAAGGTAGACGCGAAATGTTGTAAATTGCATGTGATAATGATGTATCAACAAGAGCTACAAATAAGGCAGTGAATATTTAGATTATATTCAATCAAATCGGCACAAACACACTCAGGATTGACACAAGTCATTTTAGCGATAGCAGATATATATATATATATATATATCTGCTATCGCTAAAATGACTTGTGTCAATCCTGAGTGTGTGTATATATATATATGTGTATATATATGTATATGTATATATATGTATATATATATATATATATATATATATATATATATATATATATATATATATATATATATAATACAACTGAATCTTGAAATAAGCATTTACTATCAAAATTGAGCAGTGGAAAATTAAGAATAAAAGGGTTTAAAAGCTAATTCAAAGAGAATAAGAATTTGACAAAAATAATTTTTCCCACAAGATAAAGCAAAATGTTCATGTTGCGTGTTGTACCTATAAAACAACAAAATTTGAAAGAAAATAATTTATTGTTATTTTTAACTAATATTCTCATCTGTATTTCATAATAAGGGTAATGTAAAATATCATCCCTCATGCATCCTGTATAATTTTGAATTCAGTCGCTGGAACTATAGTGTTCTCTGCATGATGTTATCAGTCCAGTCTTTATCTTTAATCTCTCGTGGTAAAATCTATTTTATCGGTTGTTTTCAAAGTGATTCACCACTAAATGTGGCAGCACTGTCAATGTAACCTCAAAGTCACAGATGGTCTGAAGACAGTATAGGACACTGCACTGAGTCCTCAGTCTGACTATATAACATAATAAACAATAGATATCAATGGATGTGCATAGTTGTTGCTGTTAATTTCTCTCATCATTTTCTAAATTTACAGGACATCAAATATTTCAAAAATGAGTCTTGTGGCTTACGGCAGTAGTGATGAAAGTGAAAATGATGAAGAAACGGGGGAAACATCGCCAATAGCTCAAAGGACTGAATCAAAAGTTCAAATAAAGTTTCCTTTGCCTATTCCAAGAACATCATACATAAATCAGGATTCGATCAGAAATGGTAAAAATGATTCTATAGAGTCAAAACTTGATTTCAACGTTTTGCCTGGACCAGTGGCATTATCGAACAATTATGCTATCACAGAGGCTGATAACTTGCCACTTCCAAAAAAAGTAGATTATTCAAATGTTGAAAAACCACCAAAGAAAAAGAAAGGGCCAACAAAAATCATAATTCCTTCATTAGCAGATGTAAGAAAAGTTACATTTACTAACATTTTATTTGTGTATTTACTCCAAATCATTAGGTGAAAAGTAAAAAGTTTTGTATTTTTATAATTTTTAAGGGGTATAGCATTTCCCAGTTTACAAAATAAATCTCATTTATTTTCACAGTGTACAATATTTTAATTTTGTTTTTCATTCTAATTTGACGATGCAAATTGCAACATATCATTAAAACTAAAGTATTATTGTCAATGTGAACATTTATTTTTCAGTTTCAAGATGATGATGATGATAGTAAACCTATTTCTCATAATAAGAAACACCCATCTCAGGTACAATAAAAATTTATTTTCATAAAATAATAAACTAAATTATAATTCTACTCTTAAAGAGAATTTATAACATATTATAATTTATTTTAGAAAGGTTCAGGTCTCATTGGGATATTACCGCCTCCTAAAAGCTTATCGATGACAGCAAATTCAATGATTCCAAACGTGTTAACAAAGAAAGCTCCAGCATCAAGGACACCAGTTCAAGAAACATCCAATAATCTACAACCAACCAAGATAATACAGAAAGCTTTCCAATCAAAGTCAACTGCTCCAACTCTGAAATCTTTATCAAGTTACAACTCAGATTCCGAAGAAGAAGACGACAAACATCAATCTTTATCAGTCCAAGACTTTTTTTCTTTATCCACTCCTTCAAAAATATCTGATGAACATTTACCATCCTTAAGTGCTGAAGATATGAAGTTGGAAACTATTCAAGAAAGCTCACATGTAAAGGAACCTGAAACCATTGTATCAAGTTCTGTGATGAATTTACCTAAGCAAGAAATTTTGTTGAAAAATAAAGTAGAAGTTGGTCCCAAACTACCTGTTCCTGAACAAGAAGCTCACTTAGATAAACAAGGAAATATAGTATTGAATGAACAATCTATACAATACTTATGTGGTAGACAAGGAGTTAAACGTAAACATGAATTAGAGAATATAGAAATCATTGATATTAATGGAGAAGATATGAAACCTGATGAAAGAGAATGGATGGTTAAAGCTTTAACTGAAGAACAAGTTCATAGGCCTCTTAATATGGGTGCAGGGCCAAGTGGTACCTCAAAGAAGAAACATCAAATCACATATTTAGCTCATCAAGCTAAAGCTATGGAGTTAGAATTGAAAAATCAATGGGCTCAAAATAAAGCAAATCGACAACAGACGCGACAGAAATATGGCTTTTAAAAGCAGCCTTATACGTAACTTTTTAATTATCATACTATAAATCATAAGTTAGTGCAAAATATGAAAACTTCATATTGTAAGTAAAAGAATGATTTGAATGTAGAACTAATATAGTCTTTTTATTGAGTAATATTAAAATAGTTTGAATACTCATTCTACATTTTTAGATACATTCATTATTAAAATGGGCCAATGTAAATAACATATAACTATGTACAAAAAAATACATTTGTGTGTATAAAATGAATATTATATTAATAAGGACAATGGTATTTGTAGATTTGATTCAGTCTGAAGGTATATGTACAATGAGAGCTATGTGTGTAAATGAAATAAATGTAATCATTTTTATAAAGTAGTTGTAATTTATTAAAAACATTTTATGCAGTGTGATAATTACTAAACACCACTTTTTACAAAACATTAAAAACATCAAGTAATACTGTCTAGTTGATACTCATAACATTAGAAATATTTTTCTCATTTGAAATCTTGTTCACACCTAAAATTATTTTTGTATTAAAAGTTTAAAAATAAAAATTGTATATTTTAATTATTTAATTTATCACAAAGGAGTTTTTCAATTTCTTGTAATTCTTGTTTTTTACATTCCAGCATATATCTTGCTTGTAACAAATTAGGAGGCAGACCTCCATATTGTTCTAATGCCTTATTCAATTCTGTTAGATCATTTAATTTATCCATAAGAACAGATGACTTTTGTAAAGTTTTATCCAATCCAATTTCTTGACTTTGTATGTTATCTAATTCTTGTTCTAATTGTTCAATGGTACCTTTGTATTGATGAAGTCTGTCTGACCACAAAATTCTATCTGATTCTGTGTTTTCATCATTAGATATTTCAGATTGTAAGGCATCTTCAATTTGTTGAATTTCTTTTCTTATTTTCAAAAGCTTTTCTTGCAAAGCATTATACTTAGCAAATGCAGCATTGTATTTTACTTTTAACAATCGCTCCTCTCTTTCCTTCATTTTACTTTGAATTTTCCTTTTCTCCAGACACAGCTGTAACGCTGTCTCATCTACCGAAGGCAGTCCTTCTAATTTTAAAATGGCAGCAGTATTTTGTAGACCTTCTTTGATGTCTATAGGTAAAGATTTAACATCAAATTTGAAAGTGTGAAGCAACTCTAATATCTCACTGGCAAGTGCTGAGTTCTCTGAATTTGAATTATTAATAGCTTCTTGTAAAAGTTTCAACATAGAATTAGTTTTTGCTGTTAATTCTGGATCTTCAGTATTTGGACTGGAGTCAGAAATAATTGAAGATATGCTAAGAGTACTATCAGCCTATAAATAAAATTATTACAAGTTGATTAAGTCAAAAAAGTTTTTGAGCTAAAATTTGACAAAAACATTTTAATTATTTCATGGAAAAGTTTCAACTATCAAATATTTAGTTCAGGTTAGTTTATAAAAATTAAAAATGTATGGCTATTAATAAATTAAAAAATTCCAAAACTATTGATACATAAATATTGACATTAACAAGATGTTATCTTCCAATAAAAGTATATCACTATTCAAAATTTACAGAAATAATTCCCTCATCAGAATAAGCATGACTGAATAATCTCATATCTTACCCTTTTGAGAGAGTCCATAATTAAAAATTTATTGATACAGTATAAAATTGATCGTACATTCAAACTTCAAAATTGTCAGTTATTTAATCTTATCTTATACAATTAAAAAATATAAAATACAAAACTCGCATCCTCATTCCTCATCCTCAAAAAGGCTCAAAAAGGCTCAAAAAGCAAAGCAGTTGACAGTTGGTTCATGCAAACAGAGGGCACCAGTTAATTGTTCCGTAAATTTCGTTTCTTTTTGGGGAATGGACTATATGGACTGTTATGTGGTTAGCGGTTGAGCTGGTTGACCTGCGAGCACATGCTTCTTGGGCGGATGAATCAAATCTAAATAATCATATTTTATTTCATTTGTATTCCTATTATTTACAAATGATCATGGATCACGTGTTATAACATTCTTGGATTAAATATTCTAATAAACAGAAGAAATTTTTGTTTTATACAAGATTAGAAAATGAGTTTTTCTATTTGGAATTCTATTGTAGTCCTGTGTACTAGTGACAGTGTTTTAGTTTATAACCTGGACACAAAAATAGAAAATATTATAAATTTACCGAAACTGAAACTTGAAAAAGAAATCAAAGCTCATAATCGAGAAGATATTGAGTCGTTTCACACTTTAACAAATGTTGCATTTTCTAACGATGGACAATATTTTTCAATATGTGCTAATCGTAAACAGTTATGCTTGTACAGAAGTGATAATTTAAAACTGATCTCTAATCGTACAATAACTAGAGCTGCTAGCAAAGTCAGATTTCTTCCAAACAATGATATTGTTGTAGCTGACAAATCTGGAGATGCTTATTTATTTTCTACTTCCAAACCAGATGAAAATGGACAATTACTACTAGGGCACTTGTCAATGTTGCTTGATATTCTAGCAACAGATGATGGAAAATATATTATCACAGCAGACCGAGATGAAAAAATTCGAATTTCAATGTTTCCTAATAGTTATAATATAGTATCTTATTGTTTGGGACATAAAAATTTCGTTACAAATATAGCCATTCTTCCACATGATAAAAATATTTTGGTATCAAGTGGAGGAGATGGAATGCTGATGTTTTGGGATTTCTTGGCTGGAAGAGAATTGAGTTTGATTCATTTCCATGAAAAGTTAATTCAGGATGATTTACTTACGCTCAATCAAATTCTTAAAGAAAATAATTTAGAGGAGCAAATAACAGTATCACCAGTTAAACATATGAAATTGTTGCAAATCAAAGAAAGTGAGTCTGTGATTATAATAACATTTTATTGTAGTAATGTGGTATTAACATATAGTGTCTCAGGAAAATTAGATTGTTTAAATGTGGAATTTCTAGAATTACTTAAGGTAGAAAAAGAACCTTTAGAATGTCATTGTTATAAAAATCAACTATGGATTTTGACAGATATTAACATTCAAGTTTATCAGTTCAATGACAAATGTTTTGTCATTAATAAAAATTTAAACAAGGAAATTCAAAAACTGAATGAGTTATGGAAAAAACTACATAGTGCATCAAGTCAAACATTACTACCAGTATTGTACAAAAGAAAGTTTGATAGTGTGCAAGAATATCATGAGAGGAAAAAGTCAAGATTGGCTAAATAATAGTTTCCATTGGACAATACATTATAAATTTTATTACTTAATATAAATATTTATTTATAAATTGTATGTTACTTGCATGGGATTCAATTATAAAAAACAATAAAACTGTAGAACCAAGTTTATACTGGCTTATAATCAAGTTTTGATTCCAATTTTTTATTATCTGATACTTTCCTAACAGCTTTCATGAAATCTTCCTGAATCACATATTCTCTTTCCAGTCGTATAGCAAATAGACCTGCTTCTGTACACACGTTCCTCAAATCAGCACCATTAAATCCATCAGAGAGCTTCACAACAGCTTCATAATCTATGAAACATATGAAATACAAGCATCAATTAGTAGATTTAAATTATTTTGTTATTGCTGTTAAAAATGAAACGTAAAATTTGCATTGTACATAATATGAAAAATGTATTACAAACCTATTTCTCCATGCTTTGCAATAGGATTAGCATGAATTTTCAAAATTTCCAGTCTTGCTTGTTCATTAGGTAAAGGGATTTCAATTTTTCTATCTAATCTACCAGGTCGCAACAGAGCAGGATCTAAAGTATCTGGTCTGTTAGTAGCCATAATCATTTTTACTTGTCCTAATGAATCGAAGCCATCCATTTGATTGAGTAATTCCATCAATGTTCTTTGAATTTCACGATCTGCACTGGTGCCCTCCGAAAAACGTCGACCACCTTGAAAAATATATGCGATCATTAAATAATGAGTGAAGAAAATTTATTTAATAAAATTAATGAATTACCGATTGCATCGATCTCATCCATAAATATTATACAAGGCTGATGATCTCGGGCATAATTGAACATTTCTCTAATTAATCTTGCAGATTCTCCAATATATTTGTCAACAATTGCACTAGAGACTACTTTTAAGAAATTTGCATCTAGCTGACTGGCTACAGCCCTTGCAAGCAATGTTTTTCCAGTTCCTGGTGGACCATACAACAGACAACCTTTTGGTGGAGTAATTCCAACTCTTTGGAAAAGTTCAGGGTTTAACAAAGGAAGTTCAATGACTTCCCTCAGTTCACGAATTTGTTCACTTAAACCACCAATCTCTGAATATGTGACATCACCGGGATCTTCACGAGACATATTATAAACCAGAGGATCCACCTAAATCAAATTAAATAGATTTATTTAATATTAGGGACCTGTCTATTAATAATAGTATTCAACTTTGTACTTTATAAAAGAAATAAAAATAATTATTATTAAGAACTATCATACAGTAATGTATTGTTAAAGCATATAAGAAAAATAATACTCTACCTCACGAGGAAGATATCGCATAATTGTAAGAGTAGTCATGTCAAGAGCCACTCTTGTTCCAGATTTCAATTTATTTTTATCCAATTGACGCCTACAGCCAACAACATAGCGAGGTCCATTTGTTGCTTTCACAATAACTGAAAAAATGTCAAGCTATATAGAAAACACTTTTCACAATATATGAATCTATTATTTAATGCATACATACATTTCTCTTCAGTGAGTTGTTTTAGAACTTCTCCAACAATCTACAAATAAAAAAAAATCTTAATATTACTATTTGTAGAGCTTATTAAAGAAAACATTTCAAAAGTTTAAAGATAGAAATGAACCTGGCCAACGCTTTGTAGAGCCTTCAAATCATTTTCTGACTTGTCATACTGCTTTGTTAAGTCTTTTAGGTGATCTCGCACTGAAAAATAAAAATCACAGATTGCTTAATAAATTAACAAACAAAAATTTTATAAAAACATGAAAAATTTCCAGTTTTGAAATAAAAATAATATCATTTTAGAGTAAAATGACACAACTATGGCAAGGAATATTCTCGTGTATAGGTTATATTATTATAATGCGTTAAGCAGTAGAAAAATAATGTAATTACACGGTAAAAGTAATAAAATACTAACTCTCTTTAAGTCGAGACTCCACCTCTTTGTGCTCTAGAAGTTTTTCTCTATAATCTTGAAGGGCTTTTTCTCTCACAGAATCTACGGTCGCAGACATTTTCAATTATTTTGCTGTATAATCCTCGAGCAATGCGAATGGACACCAAAGATCCGAGTTGCGACTTGCGAGCAAGCGCCTAGTTACTCGAGAAACATTTGCGGTTAACGTAACCGTAAGTAAATTACACGTATATAGAGTAAGATATTTATTTATAGCTTACACCGCTAGGAGCGCTAACGTCATTCGATGTTATTTGAGTTATTTGCAATTGCAAGTCAAGACAATTTCGAATTCGATAGTTTTTGTTAGTGTCAATGCTTAATGTGTCATTACTAGGCCTAGTCATTACTACTGTTACTGTGTAGTGTGTATGTGCCAGTGCATTTACCAAATCCTTTAGAATGCATAAATACGTGCTGCAAATTTACACAGATAAAAAGCGTTAATTAGCCACTTGACACTTGCTGTTCTTCCAAACTCATTCCATCCGTAAAGTTGCAAAAGCAAGTACGTAATAACAATTGCAAAATATTGTTTGCATTCTCAGCAATTGTTGACCATTTTTTAAAAATATCTGTTCAAGGATTTTGACATAAAAAGTGAATGTAACGGAGCAAAGTAAGATCAGATAAAATTCTGTTACATAAATAAGAGCTTAGAGCACTTTTTAATTTTATTTACGTTACGAGTTTTGATTTCGTTTATATGGTTTTTGTTTGCACAAATTATGCGATTTCGTGTGGCAAAGAAGCGTATCTTAAAAAGGTATTTTAAGTTTTTCTTTGAAAAGTTATTTTACTATTTTTTTTTCTTTGAAATTAATTTAGAGCTACACAACTTTACAAGGTTCTCTTTCCATATTGTAAAACTTCATTTTCTCTATCTATAACTTATGTTTATTGATTGGTGAAGTGTAGTAAAAATAAGTGAAATTCATTCATTTCCTAGTTTACATTCATTAATTATCACCTCAGGAAAATTCTATTTCAAGTATTATTTGAATACTATTTTTATTAAGGTTAATTAAGTAATTTGTTTTAATTTACTGTTTAATGAATCATGCCAATTCATACAGTTACATAAATTCAATCTGCTAATAACCTTTGTTTTCATCTGTTTAAAGTCTGATATTTAGTTCTTTGATGAAAGTCTAGTAAATCAATTAAAATTTTGTCAAATTATTCAGTGGTTTTTAAATTTAACAGACAACGAGAAAATATGAAACTTACAAGGTATGACAGTAATGCACTTGATTCCATTATGTTTGCCCCTGGTTTGAGATATTTTATAGTGCAGTTAAATATATAGTTATAGATACATACATAGTTTGATTTTGTTGTGTATTGCACCTTGATTGTTTCTCTTTATTATTGTATTTTACAGTAATGAACAAGACGATTTATGTTGTAATAACATTATTTATTATTGTGCACTCTTCATTTTGTTCATAATCCAAATATGTTTAAATAAATATACTTCATTTAATTTAAACAATAATAAAAATGACTCAAATGTCAATCATTTCATTTACATATGTTATTTTATCTTATTTTATTGATAAAATATTTCATTTTTACCAATATGAATTTTACTATACAATGTTGTTACTATATAATGGATTATTTAAATAATTGAATAAGAAACAAATAAATATATCTGGAAATGATATAAATTATTTGTGATTTCAATTGTCTGAAATATTTTATCAAACCATTCAGAATAATAATTCAATACTAAAACTACTAGAAAACAGTTCCATACAATCAGAAGAGCTTTATTTAATGTTCAATTAGTATAAATTTTAAAACAGGACTTCAAGTTTGTGGAATAAATATATAATTCAGAGTAGTTACTAACAAAAATGCAAGCAAGGTACTTGTATTTAACTGCAATGCTACCTATCATCGTTGCTGATTTATGGTATAACGGAATGTAAGTTCAGTTTGAAATGAATTTGTGACGTTAACTACTTGGCATTAAGGCGTTGACTTTGTTACTCTAGTTTTTCTAGAAAATTCACATGAACTCAGAAAATGTCTTATGTATCAAAGTCAACGGCTGTCTTTTTGTTTGCCAAATATGCACTTCAACTCTTCAACTTCTTATCTATTGGCATCAATGCTTCTCAAATTATCAAATTATTCAGTTTGTTGTATAATCAATTATATTATTTATTATATGATACCATATGCAAAGTATTAAGGTGTTTAAATTATTAAGCTTTTCATTTGTATAATATGACACAATATTGAACTATTTATAATATTTGTATTTGTAATAAACTAATTGTCACTTATTTATCACTAAGTGATTATTGTACAGTGATGATAACTGATATTCTAATTAATATGAAATTTAATTTCAATGTCAACAATTTATCCTAGATTTCAAATGTTGAAAAGTATTTAAAATTTTACAAGAGAATGCAAACTTTTTAATTTTTCTTTAAAATTTTGCTAATGTACTGAGTAATAAATATAAGCTTTGCAATGTTTGCAATAAGAATTTATCACAGTCGATGGGATAGCGAAATAAAAAATTTATACTATAAATCATATAGTATATAACTCCAGTTTTAATATGAGCATGTTATTATTGTTTTAATTTCAATGTGTTTTATAACAGGCCTACCCGACGTATCTACATTTACTTAAACTGTCCTTATTATCATGTTACATAATTTATCAACATGCTCACACAATATATATTTGTCATTTTTATGTTGTATTATCAGTATTAAAATTAACATATTAATTAACAAATTTATTAAAACAGACTTTTGCTATGGACTATGAAAGTGTCAATTTGCATCTACATCTTCCTATTTGGAATACTTCCCCTTGTATTCCGGTATTCATATCAAGTTCAAAAGAAAATATTATTCCTTAATTTTGGTAAGAATAGTTTCAATGGAAGTTTTGATTATTTCTAGGTATTGAAATATTTATAATCTTATTTTTACAGTACATTGGCCCCTTGGTCTTGACCTTACTAAACCAGAAAATGTTAGAATTGAAGGAGCAAGGAATTTCTATCTAACTACAGATGAAAAAGTAAAGATTGGTGCATGGTATGTTTAGAATCAAACGTTTAATTAAAATTTATGCTTTGAGTAAAAATTTTCTCTGCACAAAAAATAATATTTTATAGGCAGATATTACCTCAGTCTTTACTGAATCAGAGCATTCCCAAAAATGAAGAAGTTTATGAAGCACTTTTGAAAAGTGCAAACAGACCAGTATTTTTATACATGCATGGAAATAGTGGAAACAGAGCTAGTAGTCATAGGGTTGAGCTTTATCAATTATTTCAAAAACTTGATTTTCACCTCATATGTTTTGATTATCGAAGTAAGTATTATTGTACTAAAATTCTATATATTATTTTACTAACAAATTTTTCAACAATTATTTTACTAACAACTTTCAAATCAGGTTATGGAGATAGTGATAATGTTGACCTTTCTGAAATGGGAGTTGTTAATGACAGTAAATTCGTACTTGAATGGCTAATAAAAACTGTAAATAATTCTGCTCCAATTTTCGTATGGGGTCATTCTCTTGGAACTGGGTAACCAAAATTTTTCGAAATTTTTGTCAATTTAAAAAAAATTGTCTAATGTAGTACGTAATTCTTTTAATTCTTTAATGATATACTGTTTTAGAGTATCATCTCATGTATTAGCACTACTAGCTAGTAATGGAATACAGCCTACAGGATTAATTTTGGAATCTCCATTTAATAATCTCGCTGATGAAATTACAGAGCATCCATTTTCTCAAATATTCCAACATTTACCTTGGTTTCATTGGGTGATTGTACAGCCTTTATATGATAATGGTTTAAGATTTGAATCTGACAAGCACATAGGAAAAATTCAGTGTCCTATTATGATTATACATGCTGAAGATGACAATGTTGTTCCTTTTATTTTGGGTGAAAAGGTATTATGATTAAGTAAAATAATTTTCACAATCAAGCATTTACTGTTTATTACAATTTTTTATTCTTTTAGCTTTTCAATGCTGCTAAAGTCCTTCATAAAGATAGTATGCAGCGGATAGAATTTGTGAAAATTGATTCTTCTTACGGTCTTGGGCATAAGTATATATGCCGTTACAACAACTTACCATCTATAATTAGGTATGTATTGCATTATTTAATGAATTTAATTTAATTTTTACTGTACATAGTATAATTTTTTAATTAATTTAATTGCAGAAACTTTGTCAATCAATCATCAGAAGGACAAAAATATATACATTATTAATAGAATTTTAGAACAATTCAAATGTCTCTAAAATGAATACTATTTTAGAATGATGGTCTCAGAATCAAATAATCAAAATAAACTTTCATGACTGTGTGGCAGCAAATATGTGATGTTATATTGTGTTTAAAAATGATTAAACACAGTATTTAATATGTTAGTCACATGTATTATTCATAATCGTAATTTATGTACACATATATATTTGTCTTACATATTCATGAAGTAATCTGAATAAATCATGAAATCTGTCTATATTAAATTCATCAAAGCTGCTATGAAATGAGATTGAGATGAATGTTTGATAGTGAACATTAGTACATGTAATATCGTAATTCCTTTTTTACAAAACATTTCGATATGAGATTATTTTATTTGTATAAAATATAAATTACAATCTTAATATATTACATTTTTTTAATAAAAATAGATATTATCTATATAGTAATTTTAAAAATGTATTTCACTTTTTAAATGTGTAATAAAATGATTGAAAAAGATATAATTTTATGTTGTTCTTATTTTCTACATTCCCTACATAAAAGTTTTATTGTAAGTTTAATAAATTATCTCGAATAAAGTAATCAAATCGGTATTATTAAATATGCTAATGCCAACCGATATACGTATTTCATTTAATGTAGTAATGCTGTTGTCTATGGCCACCTGAAGGTCTACCTCAGAATTAACGAAGTTGAGGTTAGTTTTCTATATTCATAGAACGTCCATATACTTTATATCATTTGATTGTCACTGTGACTTGTTATGTATAAATTACACCAAAGAATATTATAATTAAACTTTTTCATGGTTTTAATTATAAAAGAATTTTGATATACTATATAAACATATTTAGGTGAATTGTGTAGTTTAAAATAAATATTGCATTAATTTTCCTGAAAGTTGGAAAAAACTTGCGGCGGTGTAATATTGTTTACTAATTGTGACATTTCAACAACTAATTTCTATAAAATAAAACTATCGAGCCTAAAATCTTCTATATTTAAGAGATCGAAATTTCGATTGTTTTTTTATGAAATTATACTGCATTTTTAATTATTACAAGTCTGGCAAACTTCCAGAAAATTTATACCGAATGCAGAAAAGTCTACACTCTTTTTGCTATGGAAAGCAAAAGCTGCAACAATTTTATAAGTTATGTAGGCTTCGAAGAACATGAAATGCAGGTAATTGATCTTCAGTGATTACTCAGAGGATCTTTTTCATTTATAGACACTTATTTTATAAGCTTTTTTTCATTTTACCTTTTGTTTTGACTAATGCAGTCGGCTATATTACATAAATTAATTTTATCATTGCAAAAATTAAGGAAGGTAAAAAGAAATATTTTATTTTTATACTTCTGTATTTACTTAACACAAAGAATTCAGTGTAATTATTATATGGTTATAATACACAAAGTCTATAAACATTAACATTGAATAATTATATTGATTCTTCCAGGATATAAATTCTGATAGAGAGAATTCTATAAATTTAAATAGTATCAAATTGCTACGTGGAGAGGCCATTGTTACAACAGCTCAAAATGTTCTTATGTTTGAACCAGTTAGCGAGTCAAAGCAAGGAATGTCAGGCATGTTATCAGTTACAAATTTCAAACTTGCCTTTGTTACAGCAGATGATAGTGCGGATGTAAGAAATAAAAACTTATCTATTTTGTTAAAGAATACCATATAAAATATTATTTTTCTCTGATATATATTTGAATTAATCTTTTTAAAGGATCTGTATCAGCAAAATCATTTATACGGTTACACAGATACATGTTTATCAAATATTGATACTGTTTATTTGATTCTGGGGGATAAAAAACGGAAACTTGTTCCAGGCTCTGTAGTCCCTTCCAAAGTGAAAGGAATATTTATAGTTTGTAAAGTGAGTATTGAAATTAATATGAAATCTACTATATCAATGTTCATTGTAACTTGAATTAATCTTTTCTTTTATCCAGAATATTAGGACATGGTCATTCTCTTTTAAATTTTCCCGAAATATTGATGATGGAAAGAATATTGTGAATGCCCTACTTCATCATGCTTTTCCTTCAAAACATCATTTACTGTTTGCTTATGAGTTTAAGTATGGATTGCTATTTTTTAAATTAGAAAAATTATCATATATCTTCTTACATAGCTTAATTTACTTCAAATAGGGAGCCTTATTTTAGTAGCATGGATAAAAGAGTGCAGTTATTTCGCACTATTAGTGATTGGGAAGATGAATTGAATCGTACTCACAGCAAAAGCTTACACTTGAAGAAAGGATGGCGAATATCTACAGCAAATACAGAATTTCAAATATGTCCAAGGTAGTTTTACTTTTAAATAATTGCTTGAATAATACTTATATCAGTAACTCGAATTGTTCTGTTTATAGTCTGTCTCAATATATTGTTGTTCCTGCATCAGTAACAGATAGCCAACTATACAAAGTTGCTCAGCACTTTCAAGGAAGTCGGCCACCAATTTGGTCGTGGTCGAATGAACAAGGTGCTGCTTTAGTTAAGATGTCTGAAATATGCCCAAGTATTATGGAGAGAACTCAAGAAAATATTATGTTAGAAAATATTCGTAAGAATCACCCGCGAAAAATACAACCAGTGATAATCGAGCTAAATAAGGATATTAGTATTAAGACTATTGCTTCAAGTTTTTCAAAACTTGTGCGACTGTGTTCACCTGGTAATACAAATTAGATATATCTTTTAAAAATTGTTTTATAATAATAATAATAATAATAATAATAATAATAATAAATTAAGATAAATTAATAATAATTTATAATAAAATAAGTATTAGAGTTGAGCAGTATGCGTAATAATAAGATACTGTTCGTTTTTTAGAAAGTGTTAGACAATTTTTAATGCAAGAAAATAATTTTTATTCTCTTTTGGAGAGTACAAAGTGGCTAAAAAATGTATCATATTGTCTAAAGAAGTCTGTTGAAGCTAGTGAACATTTAAATGAGTGTACACCTGTAATATTGCAAGGTAACAATTTATTCCACAGAGTTTGGATAATATAAATACATTTTTTCAAAAGATTCGATTATATCATGTTACAGAGGGTGCAGGTAGAGATGTTTGTTGTATTATTTCAAGTTTAGTTCAGTTGTTGTTAGATCCACATTTTCGAACAATAACTGGTTTCCAAACTCTTTTGCAAAAGGAATGGATTGCCGCAGGACACCCGTTCAGTGATCGTCTCGGTCACCTCAGAAGCGATGGTTCCGAGAAGGTAACCAATTCAATTTGAATTAATGAAACAATCGCCAAACGGCAAAACGTTTATGAATAAATATATTATTTGTAGTCACCGTTATTTTTACTGTACCTGGATTGCGTTTGGCAGCTATGCCAACAATTTCCTGCGGAGTTTGAATTTACCGAAACATATTTGACCACTTTGTGGGATACTGCGCACGTTTCAATATTTGAAACGTTTATTTTTAACTGTGAAAAAGATCGTATCAGAGCAACTGTTGTGAGTAACAGAATCAATTAGATTTTAGAATTTTAAATGTGTGAAATTCACAAAGTAAAATTTAATTTTTTAGGATCCGACGACTCATTTAGTATTGCATAGCGCGTGGGACTGGAGAGAACAGTTTAGCGAGCAAGATATTCAATTGTTCTATAATCCTCTTTACAATGTTCCAAATTTGTCGGATAATGCAACCAAGACCAAATACCTGAAACCCATGTGTGCAATACCCTTTTTAGAAGTCTGGTCACAGTGCTTCTTTCGTTGGATACCTCACCTAGTTATACACAACGGCGGTCGTAATCACATTGAAATGTACACAAGGTTACTACAGAATGATGTGGCCCAGCTGCAACTAGATGTTGGAGACTTATCCACGTCGCCTGTGGACAAATTATCCACGTGTCTGCTTCAAATGAATATCAATAGCTTTTATCCCTTCAGCAATAAGAAATCTGGCAATACTGTTAGCACGCCTATTATCAATACGTCCTTCATCATGAGCGACAGTATGATTGACTCTCAGAGTCTTTTAACTGCGCCAGACTGATTTGGATGATGACGGTGTTGATTGAACTTTTGAGTAGCTTCACCGTTTTTTCAATATTCTCTGTTTGATGACCTTTGCGTTTCTTCTCCATTATCGAGGTATATTTCATCGTGGCTAGGTAATACTTGGCTTAAAGTTTAATTATGAAAATTTTAAAGATATTCATTATATGTGTAAAGCAAACAACCACAAGTCGGAGGATACATATTGTTTTAATATATTGAAATCAATTAATACTAGAACAAAAGTTTATGAAATTATATTTATTATCTCATTTATAATTAAAGATCAACAAAAATTTTATGCAAAATTTCAATCTGATATTTGCATTATTTCATTGAAAGTGTCAAGATATAAAGTACGGATTTACAATTTTTTTACATAAGTTTATTAATAAATTAGTATATCGGAATAATAACGTTGATTAATTCTAGGGTGATAAATCATACATTGTTGAGCTTTTAATTACTAACGCAAAATTTTCGATACTAAATAATTTCTAATAGATTAACAGGCTTTAAAAGAAAAGTATTCTATAGATATTTATTGGCTAAAGTAGCATTTATCGAAATAGACTAGAAATGTACATTTTATAAAGTGCCTGAACATTGGTTTCTCATTATTAAATTAGCTCTGTATTTAATTATAAATTTCACATATTAGTCGATTTTTTAAAAGCAAAAGTTAAATTCGAAGGTTGATTGAAAATTTGGTTGTTACAAAATTGATTATTTTTATAAGCAATATGATGTGATCTCATTACTTTTTCAAAATGAAACTATTTATTGTAAACTTATTTTGGAGGCATTAAATGTTTTAATTTCATCCGTATTAATTAATTTTTTTGTTATGTTAGTAAAAAGAGAAATTATTTTTTCGAAGAACATTGAATTTTTAAAAGTGTCTTCAAAAACTTGCATTCTAGTGTAAATGCTCATTTGTATTCGCCTGTGAACAAAGTAGTAGCGTCGTTATTATAATATATTTAAAAGTGTGTAATAGAATCATCGTTTCTGTAAAAGTAACACGAATAGGCAATACTTACTAAGATAGTAAACTTGTAATTTGTTAACTATATGATTGTAATTTATTTTTATTTATTTCCAATGAGCTTATAGATTAGTTGACAACTACGAATGGCTACATAAACCTACAAATCCTATTTTGTCAATTATTTTTTTAAGAACGATCAATAAACTTTCAAGATATATGTTCACAAGTATGGTCATTTTCATTATTCCAATTGAAACCACAAAATGAGCTGAAAATCAACAATCTCGCTGAAAATTGAGCAAGCGTGTAAAGCGTGTAAATGACGAATTTCAAAGTAAAGTATAAAGCAATGTCGAAATAAAACTCGTCGTAAAAGTACGCGGCGCAGCACCGTTCAACTTGCGCCGCAGCTAGCGAAAACCTTAATTACTTCGCACCTTTCATTTTCAAGGATCGGCGGAACGCAAAGAAACCTTACGGAATAATTACAAAGTAAAGCTGGAAAGACTGGTGCATAAGTTCCACATACACGCACGCGCACACACAGAGGTGATATCCATACGTTCGCAATGACAAAGCAGTCGGCCAAGGAAAAAAAGCTCCGTATAGCCGCGGGTGCAATGTGAAAAAAAGAAAAAAAAGTTGCATATAGGTGCACGCGCGGATCAAATCACGAATAAATAAGATTATGCATGCGCACGACTGCGATATATGGTGCGCGCATATATAGCGCGCGCGGCATATACCAGAGCGTGCCTATAAATTAATTTCACTTTCTAAATGCGAATAACTTCCGAACTATGATATACTTGACCTACGGGATTTTCGCGCAATTTCCGTGAGTGCCTTTCCAAATTGACTGAGACCACGGCGACAATTTTTTCTTTCGATTGTGACTCGCACTAATTTTTTCAAGAGGTTTCACATTGAAAGCTAGACGACGAGGTATCGGATGCAGATCCCCTACAGCGCAATTCCATATTTAATATAAATTCGCCGAAATTCCCATATTACACTCGGCATCTTCCACAACCGTCGTCGACAATCACGCCACTGGAATCGAGGACAACGTTTCGGCTATCGCGAGACTTGGAATCTAAAAATATGTTGATGAACCGGCATATATAAACGCGCAACAACGCCAACAACTCGCGCTTGACGTGCGGCAATTTGCACGTGGGCGCCGCGCGCTTGAAAATCGGAGCAACTGGTCGCGCCGATAATTTTCTTTTGCTTTGCTATTATGCAGCATCGACTTCCAGGAATAGGCCTATTGTGCGCAAGATTTATACAAAAGTGAATCCAGGAGACCGAGCCAGTCGACTAATTTATGCGCGTGATCTGTAATTTATTATGTAACGAGGAGAGTTTCGCGTATCGCTGCGACCTGTCAATTGCCACACTCGATCTGCTCTTCGATTTTTTTTGCACTCGCTCTACGACTTTACTCGAAAGTTCGTCATCTTTTCCAGTGCTGCTCCAGCCGAACTCTTTCGCTGGACGATTATTAGCACAACAATTATTTGTCATAGTTTAGAAAAATCGTCGCTGAGAAACATTTGAACACTCACGAAGGAACTTGACAATTTCAAAGCTTGATTAATTGATTATCTCAAAATTGTATTCTCTTCTATATTCAGTCGTACAATTTCGAACAATGCGTGTTGCACATTACGCGTACGATCAAACTAAAAATAAGCTGTATTATTTGCTAAAATATCTTAATTTAAGACGACCAAGTTTGTCTGCAAAATGGGCTAGTTATTTTTGTAAAAAGACACGCAGCTTGAAAAAATGTCGGAGCATACGTTAGCTTGTAAATAAATCATTTGTCGATCTTGATCTAATGAGGGCCATTTTTTTATCCGTAAAGGTGCAGACCGCGCGTATCTTGATTGGTTCCGATGAAAAAACGCCGAGTCGAAGTACAAAGAACTCTACAAGGACACCTAATGAAAAACACCAATGAAACATCGATTTCAGATTACCCTTACACATACAATAGCAATTTGAAAGCAGAAAAACGGGAATATTTTTATGAGCAAATGCACTTCTGAAAACAGAGCAATATTGACCCATTTAACGTTAATCAATAGTCAACTTTATCAAGAAAAAAACTGAATTGTCCGTCACGCGTAATATTGAGTTTTATACCTCGTGTAACGCGGTAAAAATAGACGACTGAAAATTCGAGCAGAAATGTAGGTGACGTTCACACGGGCAACTCACTTCCGAGGGCAATCTCCTCGAAGCATACTGCACGATTTCCATTATATAAAAGCCGAGCTTTGAAATTCCAAAGAGAGCAGCGAAATGATTCTTCGAGATATTTCGAAAATAATCGTGAAGGTGAAAAAAGAGGCATAGATGCGCTGTACTTGTCGCGGTCGATCTTGTGTTCATCGATAAGCGCAACTTAACGCTCTTAACTTGACGAAGGCTAACGTAATCGGAAGGACCAGCAGTTCACCTGAACTTGAACAATGCGACTGAAACGCCAAAGTGCGCGAGTGAGCGGTAGGTGTGAGTTTCGATTGTTATCCGTGAAAAGCTCAACTTACGGCGAAAGGACGCAAGCTTTCAATCTTCGCCTGACTGTATCGTCGAATTCGTTCGAAACTTGAAAGCATGCGTGACGTCGACGTTTTACAGACGCTTTACAAAAATTGTCAAAGAGGCGCGCAAGGAAGGGGTACGAGTCGGGCGAGATGGTGCCTCTCCGCGCGATCGCGTACTGAACGAACGGGCGAACGTCCACTCCGAGTTTTAAAATAACGCGCAAGTCAGAGAGGAAGACACGCAGACGAGATCTTTTTAAGTATCGTGCAAATAAAGAGTCGCAGGCGGGTAAAGGCTGGAGGCTCGGGAGAGCAATGAGAAAAGAGGAGGCGATAACGTCGCGCGCCGGCCAAGTTGGAGCGAGTTATGCTGAATTTCCAAGTAATTGACGTACGAGAGAGCTCGCACGGAGATTTGCTCGCTCGATTGTCGACCAGTTTTCTCTTCCAGTCGAGTCATTAAGTTCGCGATCAAACGAATTCTATCCCCGCATATCGAATAGCTCAGCTCGCGGACCGACCAACCTTCCTTTCGGCTGCTAAGTTGATTTTGCAACGATCGATCAATGGGGATATAGCAATTAAGCAATTTTTTTTTTACTATTTTTCGTTTTTCCTCGAGCGTGAAACCCGATGAAAATTACGTTGACATTAACGCGAGATGATTATTTTTAACATTGCGTTGCGACTGTAGCTTGTGCAAAGCGACTCAAGGGTGCGTATTATTTATTCATAGATGCGGAGAACTTTTAAAAATCACGACATTTGTAAACGGACGCAAAGTGTATGCACGCACGTGTTCAGGTGTCGAAAGCTTAGATGTAATTCTATTCTGTAACTCGACTAGCCGTATCATTGTCTTCCAGTTATTAACCTTTATAACGGGTATATAATATTTGATTTAAAGTTGAATGCTACACGTAAATTTCGATAATTAGTCAGGACAGATTAATTTGAAAACTCATCGAAGGGAACACAGCGCATCGGGAAAAGGGAAAAAATTGGGCGTGATGACCGATTTTCGCAATCACCGTACTAATACATTGAGAAAAGACATGTAAAATATATTGACCGGCTAATTATAAGCGCCCCTGCACGAGCATTAATAAAAGTCAAAAATAAAGAAGCACAGTGCGCACAAGCGCAACGTAAGGCTGTCGGAGGTATTGCAGAAAAAGGCGAATGTAGCAGCACCAAGAAACTTCAGTGTTGGTTCTTTTTGCACCAGCTTCTCACATGCACACTCACCTTCGCTACGGCTGCGGCGGGTGAGTGGAGTAAAAAGGTATAAGGATATACAAAAGTAAAGTCGAGCCAATCCGGATACTCCCTCTAACGGCGATGCACTGTACTGGTCGGGCACACACGGACTGCGATCTCCACTCCGCGAGCGCGACTTTGAGCCGCGTCAGGCCAGTCGCGGCGTTCCTGCCGCCGCGCGGACTCTGTGTGCTTCAACCTCCGATTGTAAATCGTGCGTGCGCTACTAGCCTCTCGCGACGTCGTTAACAAGTGTCCGTCGTTCTTTTTTCTTCCCTTGGCTTCTGCAGTTATCGCGTAGGTACATGCGTGTCATAAAGCGGTTCTGATAGCATTGCGGAGAAGGCTTTATCAGTGCGCGCGTGCTGCGATCAGGAAAACGAGCGAAGGATTGCGACGACGATCTGACGAAGACGTGAAAGTGCTGCTTGCTGCTGGCCGTCTCGTGCGCGCGCGCGCGCGCGAGAGAGTGTGTATGTGCGAGTGCGCTAGCGTAGGATCGCACGCACGTTGCGTCGGCTCTTTGTGCTGCCGTTGCTCGGGGTGTCACCTGTTCCTCATTGGCGATCCCAAGAGATAAGCCGCACAGCTTCACCGCTGTTGCTGCTGCTGCTGTATTACAGCTTGCCGTGGAGAGGAGGAGGAATGCTGATCGCGATCGGCCAGCCAAGGAGGAGCCCTCGCAGGAGGAAGAGGACCGAGCGCTCCGAGGTCTCTAGTGGATAACGGTCAGTCACCACGTCCTTTCTATAATCATCGCACGTTCGCATCTTTTGCTTTTTCCTCGTTCACGAGAGAAAGCTCGCACGGCGGTAGCGATTGCCAACCTTCTTTTTTCTTTTTTTTCGCTTTGCTATACTTCGTACACGTACGGATGCGCCGCGAAAGAGGTTAGGTTACTCGCGCGAAGGAACTCGCTGAGATGATGACCAACGCGCTGATTTTTTTTCTCAATCTCTTCTCTCGCTTCTTGTTCTCTTTCCTTCTTGTCGCGGAGCAGACGGACCGCTCGCTTTGCCGTTCTCGCTCTTTCGTTCGCTCGCTCTCGCCCACGAGAAATAGAGAGAGAGAGAAAGAGAGAGAGAGAGGCGATCGCGCGGCGAGCTTATCTCTCTCCAACGACTTGTTTTTTTTGTCTTCTCGAGGTGACACTCGCGTATTAAAGATTTTTCGCGAGTTGTAGATGCTCTGCTTATTTCCTTTGTTTAATCGAAGCTTCGAAAAGATTGCTAGTTATTGTTTCCTTCTGGAGAAAACGAAATAAACGCATTCACTCGAATCAATGAAAAGCCAGCCAATTGATGTTAAGTCGTTCGTGCACAATTAGTGCTGTTCCGCGTGTGCAAGCACATTATAACGTCAATCGTAACATTTAGAAATGCCGCATAATTAA